TGAGGATCCGAGTTCAATCTCGGTAGAACCTTTCAGAAAGCTCGTTACATGTGTGCATTTTGTCAATGCTTATTATTTTTATTATGTTGATTAAGTATGTTTACAAGTTTTCAGCCAATGCAGATGTCGTTAACTTAATTTTTTTTCCCGTCAAATATCAAAACATTTTCATATTATCATGGAACACACACACACACACACACACACACACACACACACACACACACACACACACACACACACACACACACACACACAGACATCATATTAACAGTATGCTATCCAGGGACGCATGGTCCAGCGTGTGAGAGGGTGTGCACGTGTAGCAACAGCACCTGGTGCCAGCGATCAAATGGTAGTTGTTAAAAAACTTCATTCAATCTAGCCGGGCCGGATGTGAGGGATCGTTACATGTTTTTAGTAGTTTATCGTTTGTGGTTATTCTTATTTTATGTAATAAATGCATTGTATCTTGATGGTGCGTTGTGTGTTTTTGTATGTATGTATGTGTGTGTGTGTGTGTGTGTGTGTGTGTGTTTATGCCTGTGTGTGTATATATATATATATGTGTGTGTGTGTGTGTGTGTGCGTGAATAGCATTGGAATTTAAAAAATTGCATATATATTTTGCAGTGTAAACCTATGAAGTATGGTTCTTTCGTATTGATTTCATGTCGCAGCAATGTTTATTATTCGTTTAGAGTCGGTTTGTTTGTGAGTTTTTTAACAGATTCGTACTCAAGAGATTTCAGCCATGTTGTTACAGTCATAACATTTGAATGAATGGTTGGTGATGTAGTTTGTGGGAGATATTTGTAGTGATAGTTCAACTCTTAATTTTTCTCATCCAAAAATGAGCTAATTTTAACTAATTATTAATAATCTGTGATTACGGATGTTAACTTTGGTGGTGATTTGATTAGATTTAGATATTTTTTGAGATTTTTTTTGAAAAAAAGAAAACATTATAATTAGTAAAGTTGAAAAAAATAATTTAACGTTTTGCGTGAATTTTTTATTTCTAGTTTTATCTTATTCAGTCTAAAATAATTTGATGTATATTTCAAAATTAAAAAAATATTATTAATAAAAAAAATATATAAGTAAAAATAAAATAAATTAGAAAAATATCTCGACCGCCACGAGACAAAAATTTTAATTTTCTGCTCACTCGCCTAAAAATTATTGAAATATTGCTTTGAAGCATGAAAATTCATTTAAAAATAAATTCATTTAAAGACAGTCAAAATGACCGTGTTTAAACAGGTAGGGCAAGAGATGAATGATTTCTTACCATCGCCTTCATTATCGTCGTCATCATCTATCACACATAAAGATGATATTGTATTTACGGTTTTCAAACTAATACTGCATCGCCAAATCATTTCTGAAAAAGAGATTGATAACTTTGAACCGTTTAAAGCAATTTTTATTTATTTTCATATAAAATCGTCGATGATGACCTATCTTGAAAGATTTACCATCGTTAAACACAAAGGTTGTTAATTTTAAGTCATATTTTTAAATTACTTGAGATAAAAAATGTCGCTAGTCTTACTACAAAACATCCATAAAATCTGAATCGATATATTCAGAGTCAGACGGCAAATAGGGACAATTGGAACCAACCAGTCGACCTTTCAATTCTTCAACCTTTATATGAAAAACGTATGATAAATGATATTCCGCATTGAAAGAATTAGAATACATTAACTCATATCTATTTGTTAGAACCTAAGAGATGTTTTAGTGGAGGATGTAAAAGGGTAATTATACGAAATGAATATTCTTTTTATGTTAATTTTATCGAAAAAGTAATAAATTTTATTCAGTAAAGGCGATGCCACAGTGCTAAGTATAAATTGTTGTTTAGGCAAGTGCAGGCAATAAAATCAAAGCTCTTAAGTGGAGTTATTCATTTGTGTTTGATGGTTGCTTTCTACGAAACAAAATTAACTTCAAATCGTTCTATAAATATCCAACTTATATATAACTTGTTAAATAATGTGTCGATCTGTGTGTGTTTGCTTGTATTTATGTGTTGTTCGTGTGTTTGCTGAATATTTCAATATTTCGAAAAGTAATTTATGATTCATATGCATGAATTGGACCAACTTTTTGTGAGAATTAACTATATTTAGATGAAAAATTTCAAATAAACAAGAAGGAACCGTACATTAAAAAAAAAAACATTTCATTAATTTTGATGTACATACAGTAAATTTTCAAAAATATTTTTATACTTTGTTAAAAAGCAAAAAACACAAAAGAATTTTTTTTAGTCAGCGATAAGGCGAAGTTTTGGTTGTAGGCAGAACAATGAAATTCCTCTATGCATACCGGGTGCATACTTCTATGCAATACACATCTTATCGATCAAGACTGTTCGTTTATAAAAGACCGTTAGCACTGAACACATCTGGTATAATATAAAATATTGAACAAACAATTTTTTTTCAAGATTTATTATAAAATATTGTATAAAATAATTAATAAAAAGTAATCTTTAAATATTTTAATCTAACTACGAAGCGTATAAGCCAACCTAGAATGGCGTTTTTGGCTAGCTCTTTGCTAATAATAATTATTATGAGCAAAGTTTCAGGTCAGATTACAGAAAACTCCATAGAAGATATATTCTACATTGTGAAAAATTGCCTGGGAGATATGGTGTGCACCTTAGAAGAAGGAGCGTACAAGTTGGAATCTATCAGAGATAAAGTTTCATGTTCGATTAGGTGTTTGAACATTTGTAGCTGCAATGCATTTCAATTTGATCCAAGCACCAATGCTTGCTCGTTGTTTGTCGACGCCAACATGCTCTTTGTTAACTTTTCCATGCCATGTTCGTCCTATCTTTATAAGGTGTGTGGTTGAAAGTTTTTTTTTATATTAATCTTTTAATTTTTTCATCTACGTTATTATTTAATTCGTTAATAAGTAAGTCATTTTTCAGATTAGTAAAAGTATAAATGCCATTTAATTGCGAATAATTGTCTGTTATTTTATTTCTATCAGAAAAATGCGACAATGATTGAAGGTTTGTTTATAAGTTGAACTTTATTTCGCTTCAATTTGGCTTCTTAAATTTCAAATTATCATCATTTAAATTTTTACGACCAACTTTTTGTAACATCATAACATTTCAAATTTTTCATCATTAAACGAGTGATCGGAAGACTTATCAGGGTAATTTTGTCAGTTTCATGATAAGACTTTTAGAATTTCTTTAGAATAAAAATTTTCTTTCAGTATTTTCCAGGAGCATCAACAGCTAACACACAGTGCATGCAAATACACATGATTCAACGCACCACACAAACTGCACGTGATAAGCGGAAGCCTCCTAGTTATCGAACCCGGTTACTGCAACAGCACCACTAGGCATCCTAGCCATTACACCATCTTAGCACCCAAGCTAAGTAAAAATTATTTTTCCCCAGATGTGAACGCCCTGTATATTGGATGCTACAAGGACAACACGACTCAACGTGATATAAAAGGATATCCCACCACGTCAGGATCGATGACCATTCAGAAATGTCTGACACGCTGCAGAAATCATAATTTTACTTTTGCAGGGCTTCAGGTTGGTCACAATGAGGATAATGACCGTAATTAGAGATGTTGCTAGTGTTAAAAGATGGCGAAAATGATGATGGCGATCGATGTTAATAATTTTTTTAAAATGCGACAACTTTGTGATGGTTTTAATTATGAAGAATAAAAAATTGTAATAACAGTGAAAGTTCAAATGAAACTACAGCTGATGAACAAATTTCTTAAATTTTTGAACTGTTAATATTCACATAAAATTTACCCAAACATTATTTATTTTCCATTTGCAACGTCTTCTCCTCAAAGCCTCATCCAACTTTTTTTTTTACATTTTTTTGATCGTTACTGATCATAATGTTTCATCAAACAGTTGGGAACGAGATGTGCTTGTGGCGATTCGTACGGAAGTTTGGGCTTGGCTTCACCATGCCTCATAACATGTAGCGGAATGGTGACTGAAATATGCGGCGGTCAGAACAAAAACAGCATTTACGGAGGTAGGAGCAGTTTTTTGGATTGTTTTGATTCAAAAATAATTATGAAGGATTGTTAAAATATCACAAATAATTAACTTTGAATCAGTACAGTCATTCACCTACACACACTACACAAGCTCTCTCTCTCTCTCTCTCTCTCTCTCTCTCTCTCTCTCTCTCTCACTCACTCTCTCTCTCTCTCTCTCGCTCACACACACACACACACACACACACACACACACACACACACACACATACTTACACACACACACACATTACGACAACACGCAGTATGTCCGAAAGGCAGATTTGGTACGGCCTGCGAACAGACATGTAACTGCACTGTGGATGGTCACCAGAGTTACTGGTGCAATAGAAACAACGGCACTTGTGTCATCGTACCTTGAAGACATCATCCGTTTTTCATAAACTGGTTTGCTACAAAATGATGACGATGATGACAACTGATTAGTTGCGATAAGATTACTAATAATATAGAAAAACACTGTTATAAATAAATGTTGTTTTTAGTTGAGTATTCACTTTTGTAGTTGCTCTATCTATCTTTATATTAATTATGTTATCAAATTGATGTTGTTACGTAAACCGGAATGTTTTGACAATAAAGATTCTTGAAGCAACACGGTTTTTTTAATTTGAACAAATAAACATACAAACAAACAAAAAAGAAAAAATATATCGCTTAAAACCAAGCCACATTTAAATTAAATTCAACGTTTTACATCGAAAAACAATGTTAATCGTTATTAACTTTATAATATGTAGCACAAATTCAACATTACCATTCATTGAATGACTGAAATTAAACAAAAATATCTCAATTAATTAACTAAATTTATAGTAATCAATCGATAAATTAAAACTATTTACAATTTTTTCAAATTACGTATTTAATTTAAATGCTACATAATTAATCATACAGCGTGAAACATAGGTGTGCATATAAAATCTCAATCTACCAGCACAGTCCTACTTACCTAGGCATAATACACGTCTAATTAAATGCACAAGCCTGCTATCGCATGTCTCGGTGAATGAGATTGTTGCGTGTGTGTGTGCTAATGTTAGTAATGCTATGATCCGAGAAGATACGATTCGAGATTTAGATGATGAATTAGAGAAAGTTAGTTAAAACTTTTTAATAATTTTTTTTGGAGCGTTTTGCATCTTGCATGGAGATGAGCGGATCGGTTGACGATCGGCAAACTGACATTTTTAAAATAAGTAAGCCAGACATCATCACAAACAGCAACAACGTTATGGAAAGCCAATATGTTGTCCCCGACAATAACAGCAGCACCAATTCGAACAACAATACTTTCACTTATAAACCCGGCAGTTCAAGTGACAATGTCAACATCAGTGATAAAGTTTTCAAATCAAGCATGTCCTCCTCATCAAATTTATCATTTTTGAGTGATTCCTTGATGCCGACCAGCGCTTCAGAGATGGGAGACAGCAACCCAATAAACTCGTCAATGGAATCTCCAAAAATGTTTGAAAATAACTTCAGAATATCTTACTCAGATCATGATCTATCATTCCGAAAAGACGAAGCCAGTGGTAAAAAATTGATCTGCTGTCGAAAAAGCAGCTCAGCTCTGAACGACGTGCACGATGATGACGAGGGTGTAAAATGCGATGTGTGTTCATACAAACACAAGATTGCCATGGCCACTAGCTACTGTTCTGTGTGCAGCATAAATCTGTGCAACTCTTGCGCAGAGAAACACGATTCTTTGTCCTTATTTAGGAAACATTCGATCGTGCCAGTCTGCGAGTTGAACAGTTTAAATCTACTGAGATGCGATCAACATGCCAACGAACACGTTAGTCAGGTTGAAGTTGCGAAAACTGCGATATGATTTTGATGTTATTTTTAATATTATATTTTTAATAAAATAATTTTTTTTATTTTGATAATATTTGAGTTCACAGTACGAATTATAACGTTTTTAACTAACTTTTAATTTCAATCGTTTAGGTTTTATACTATTGTTCCAAATGCCTGGTCCCTCTCTGCGCCGTGTGTGCCGTGACTGACCACGCCACACACAATGAAGTGGTTGAAATAAGCAGCATCATGACCAGCAAGAAGGATGCCCTCGAGAAAGGTCTCACTGATTTGATTGAAAAAGTTGCCAAACTTGAGGAATTGTTATTAAAGTTGGACGATATTGAAAGCGTCAAAGAGATTTCGTATAAAAAGTTAAAATCAGAAATTGAAAACCACGCCGATAATATTATCGGAAAGATTCAGCGGAGGAAAATGTATTTATTAGATGAAGTTGAAAAGTCAGATAAGTTCTAATTTATTTTGTTACACTTGTATTGCATATACACTTATAAAAAATTTTATTAACTTAACTTTCTCAAAAACACCGCATATAAAAAAAGTTACGCTAAGCAATTTCCCCACATTTCCAAACAGATATCAACGAACCAGTTTAAAATTGATGAGAACTGATAGAGAAAATCTCTCATTTAATTTGTCAAATATGAAAAGCTTGTGGAAATTCGCGGCAAAATTGATGGAGCCAGGACAAACCGTCCAATTTCTGGCTGCCTATCCCAACTTGACAGGAATGGTATCTAGAACTTTGACTACTCTTGATCCATGGTAGCGTAATTTCTATAAACTTTTAATTTCAAAAAGTAAAGTCACACATTAATTCAAAAGTATGTTAAAGGATTAGCTATTATTTCGGTACAGTTGAATGGCGGAATATTCTGTTTTTGTGTTTTCAATTGATTTTTACATTTTTTTAAATTAAAAAATTCAATAAAGTCTGCCTGGCGAGGCCTCCTGCATGCAAATGTTTGTTCCTTCTGATGACATAAACATTGGTGAGATAGAAGCGTGTGAAATCTCAGTGGACCTGGTTAGGAAGGTATCTGGCATTCAGTCACCACTTCGATCATCTAGTCCTTGCAACAATTCTTCCGATCTTTTCTCCTCCAGTTTCTACATCGAACAACTTGATAACTCTTTAAAAAAGTTGAACATCAGGTATGCTGGATTTTAAAGATGATATCAAATTTATATTTTTTTTTAAAAAGTTAGTTATTTTTGTTAATTAATTTAATTAATTTTTGTTTCGCATTTTGAAACTTTAAGATATCTGAAAAATGCCCAAGTCATCTGGAAAATTGAACAGATTGGTTCAAAAGTAGGAGAAATAAACGAAGTTTACGATGTCGCCATATCCCAAGACGGAGTTGTTTACGTAGCCGAATGGCTGAATCAGAGGATTCAGATCTTTGACGCAATTTCTGGCTGTTCGAAAGTCATAATTGGTCAGAATCAAGTACAGCCTTGGGGCATAACTTTGATTTCTGATGGGCATATTGCCGTTACAGACGAAAAACAAAGAACGGTCAAAATTTTCAACAGGCAAGGTGCAGTGAGTAGGTCGTGGAAAAAGCAACAGTTCGGATGGCCTCGAGGAATTACATGCAGCAAGAATAAAAACATCGTCCTCACTGACACACAACACGGTCGTCACACCGTCAACGTTTTGAACGGCGAAGGAAAATTAATTGTTCAGTTTGAAGGCGGTGGTACCGGGAAGATAAAAGATCAATTTCACTGGCCTCGTTACGTGGCTACTGATTCTCAAAATAAAATAATCGTATCTGACGGGGCCAACCACTGCGTGAAAATATTCGACAAACAAGGACGCTACCTCTTCAAGTTTGGATCGCAGGGAAGTTCGGATGGCTTGTTGAAGCACCCGAGAGGTGTTTGCGTAGATCAGGCGGACAACATCCTAGTAGCCGACCACGACAACGACCGCGTATCGATATTCAACAAGGATGGAAATTTCGTCAGACACGTCCTCAACATTCCCAAGCCGAGAGGACTGGCCTTGAATGAAAGAGGTCTGCTCGTCGTATCCAACAAATCTTCCGTCGTACTTTTTAAAATTTTAGATTTCATGGCGTAGGACATTCGTGAGATTCTCAATAGATGGTTTTTAATTGTAATTTTCTAAAAATATTAATTTCTCTCATTTTATTTCAAAACCTGACAATTAATAAATATACTTAGATTCAACATTTAATTTAAATTCTCCATTAACAAATCAACATTTATTTTAATTTTCAATTATTAAACTGCATAATTTTACCATGATAATTGTACAGAGTCAAAGAAACATCTATATATCAATGAACTTTATACTTAATTTGTTAAGAAACCTAAATTACGAATTACTATTTTATGTTAACAACAGATATTTTTTGGTGAAATGTTAACCCTATCCCAAGACCTTATATGTAATAAATACGATACAGTAATATATATATATATATAATTTTCTATATATATGGATACAGTGTATATTGTCCATATTCATGCGTTATTTAACTATTTAATCGAGACGATTACCTCAATGTTAATAAGAATCAATCAACGTTACGATTTAATAACATTTCGACTTTGAATGTTTTGATTTGTAAAAACAGAATAAAAAACCTTTATATTTGAATTTTTTGTGTTTACACTGGCCTGAGGTTGTCAAGAAAGATGATCGGCTAATAAGATTAGGCACTACCAAGTCAAGCTCTTTGTGAAACTCTCGACATCAGGCATGTTGTACAATTAAGACCAAGTAAAGACACTATACTATCACTTACCTACGTATTTGAAAAGTTTTTCGAAGCTTCTGGATGAATGAATGAAAAAACAAACAGCAAACTAAGAAAGATAATATGCGAGTAAGAAAAATCGAAGATTAGTTAGTAAATAAATTGATTCCTAGGAATATTTTCAGTATTTACGAAAAACACCGGTACTACTTAACTCAAAAACTAGATTCAATAGTTTTACAGGAAATGTATGCATCCGTGCACTTCCAGTGAACACTCCAACAACAACAACAAACACTCCACAACAACAACAAACACTCCACAACAACAAAATTGTCAACAAAATATCTAAATAGTTTTATTTGAAACATGCACAAGTAGTAATAATTATTCTGTCTTGAAATTGAATGACGTTCAACGCTTATAGTAGTTCTATAAATAACATTTCAACAGAAAATAAATTACCAACGGTAAGTAAAACGAAACTGGAACTATTATATATATATATATATATATATATATATATATACATGTATACAACATATATATTGACAATGTACAACTATCCAGTTACAGACAAGAATAATATTTTAATTATAACAACATTGATGACGACGATGATGACGATGGTGATGACGGCGATGATGACGGTGATAATATAATAATAAGCACATTATAAACGAGGTCCCTCAAATATGATTTAATCATTTTAATCGTCATCACCCTTATCGCCATCATCATCATCAGTCTCCGATCAAACCCAAAATGATGATGAATGAACAAAATAAAACGCACATAAAATAAAATTCACAAACATTTCATCACATATATATATATATATATATATATATATCCATAAGAAATAATACATACACAGTAAGTACACACATTTCGTCTAGGATATA